CCCCAAAACCCCAAAACCCCAAAACCCCAAAACCCCAAAACCCCATCACTGAAATTAAATATTGAGGTACTTTTATTTTATTCTTCTAAATGAAAGATCTCTGGACAATCCTTAGAGGAGCCAGCATTAGAGCTTACTATTGGAACAGCTTCAGAAGATTTTCTAGTCTCTCTTCCCTGGTTTTCTGGGCTTTCTTCAAGTTCTTTTGTGGTAGGAGTCTCTTTTTCAAGGTTAAATTTGCCATAAAGCAGGGTTGCAGCCACCAAAGGGACTGAGCCTGTTGAATCTTCAGATAATTTTATTGCATCTCCTTTTCTCTTCTTTTGAAAGGTCTGTGCTAGCTTATTTTCTTTGACAAATGTATTAGAATTGGAGGACTCATCTCCTATGAAATCTTCCTTATTTGGAGTAAAGAGTAATGACTGGTCGTAAGTCATCCTTTGTGGAGCTATATAATTAAAGTATTAAAAGATTTCTTCAGGACTTATTCTCTTACTTTGCAGCTCGGAAGCAAAATTAGGATTTAAAATATCTAAAATTATTAGAAAGATGATCTACCAGTGGATTTTCTCACTTCCCATTGTCTTGAAGGTCCCATGGTGACCCTTTCCTTCATTGTTCTACTCAATCTTTCTTGATTCCTTTGAGCCTTAGTTTTCCTGACCTTCCTTTTTGCATTGAGTGAAGTAAGTTGCTGTGGTTTATTCTTTTCTTGTTGGGCAACCGGCTCTTGAGGATGCTTTATTTGCGATGGCTCTTCCTGTTGCTCCTGTTCTTCTAGCATTCCTTCAGTTGCCAACTTCTGGGCAGAGGAATAATGCTTATTCTTGTTTTTGTTCAGTGTTTCTAGAAATTACATCTGTTACATACTTCTTTGCTTTTGGTTGCCAAGATTGGCAGGAAGGTTTGCGCCCAGAGAATGCTGTGATAGGCTAACTCCAGCATCAAAGTGGCTATCTCTACTCTTTGTATCTGAAATTCCAGTTTTTGAGTTATTTCCCCCTGTGAATTTCTCTGTTGTTGTGTTGGATTCAGGGATCCCTACTTCACTTGGTCTTTGAGATTTTCTGAACTTCTGAGTGAAAGATTCTTTCTTTGTTTGAGGTTCTGGTGTTGGCCTACTGTAAAGAGTTAGGTACAGATTCAGTAGAGAATACTATTGGCAAAAATTGGCGGATAGACAAATGTCGTTATATTCCTATTTGTATTTTTCATTGGAATTTTATGTATATAATTCGAAAGAATTATGATAGCAAGATCACCAATCCTTGTGGCATTCTGGAAGACCTCTTAATGATAGTCCTTCAGGAGTTTAGGATTGACTTTAATGAGAATGTTAAGATATTTGAGTGGAGTGACTTACTAATTACCCAAGCCTCTGCTTATATTTTTTCTTTTTGAGCATAGGAGCTATATAATTAACCTTTATCTTCTATTTTATTAAAACCGCACCTTTATTCTCATATCTTTTAACTTTAAGGTGCTGCACCTCTTCTTCAGAGACAGTGTACATGACATCTGAGTGAGTTTCTGATAGATTCCTCTTTGGCTTTGAATTTTGCCCTTTTAACTTAATTTCTTCTCTTTCAGCACATCATGATTGGTTGCCCATTTCTTGCAATTTATTTTTTAGATTTGGGGTTTTGGGGTTTTGGGGTTTTGGGGTTTTGGGGTTTTGGGGTTTTGGGGTTTTGGGG